CCAGAGGGTGAGGTGGGAGGTAGAATCTCCACTGAGTAGTATCCAATCTATCTATGCAGGGCTGATGAAATGAAATGCAGATAGGTCTCTTGTGATACAATAGTGAATAATTGTTATCAGGACTGATTGTGAGGGTTGGAAATGTAAAGGTAGACATTTTGTAGCAAAACGAGGGGAGTGATTAACTTTGCAGTCTAGGAATGGAGGTCCCTGGGGTGACCACTAAGGGAGAAGAGCAGAGAGCGGGACCCTACCCAGAGAAGCAGTGATGCCTGAGATGGAGGCAGAGACAATGACGTGGAGAAATGGAACAGCTGGAGACTTTAGACCCAAAGAGTGAGAGGGACTGTGTGTGGACAACCTGGGGGCAGGCTTGCAGGGTATACCCTTTGGTTGGCTGATGATGCATGGAGGGGACTGTAACCAGGGCAATGAAACGATTTACGATAGGATGAATATAAAACTAATGTTCTCCCATGTAAAGTATCACATAATTCACAATAAAACATTAAAAAAGCGAGAGAGATGATGATGAGATAATGATGGTATTGCTGTCCTTGAACATCTCGTTCTTCAGGAAACTCCAAGCAGACACCGGCTGACGGGTCTTGCTTATTGCTAATAAGAGTGCTGGCAGGGCATCCAGGCTTCTAGACCACCACTGTTTTATAACAGCAGGTTAAAGACAGATTTCGAGAATCACCACAAATTGGTATTTGTATTGAGATCAGGTTTGCAACATTTACCAAAAAAGAAAAGAAAAAAATACATCGAAATTTGTGCTCCGCAATTCTAGAGTCTGACCTTGCCAGAAACTCCAGGAATCCACCACTTACCGCTGCCACTTATCTAGACAGCATTTTGTTAGACCTGCGCCTGTCACTTAAGCAGTTGCAATCCATATGATGAGATACTTGAGGGAAAGGTGTCATAAAACTTAAAAGGAGTCAATGCTTTTAAGTGCCTACCAATACTCAAATTATTTCATTCCCAAATAAAGACACTACAATTAGTCATGTTCCAAAAGTTTCACCACGGAAGGGTTTGGAAAAGACAAAACTCCACTGAAACACAACAAACACATCATTTATTCCTGTCACTCTTCCTGTAGCTGACTTAGGGAAGGGGCACTGTTTCAGTTTGCATTAGCACCTGTCCTAGCAGGTTTTACAAGGTTGCAAGCCATGCAACCGTAGTAGGTCAACGCCAGTTTAGGCTGCATCCTTTAATCTGTCATGGGATTTCATTTTATTCTAAAACTGTCATATGAAATGAGGTTTGGTGTTAAAGAGCTAGCTTCAAACAGCAATGCTATTAGCGCTTTTATAGAATGAAATTCAATGAGATTTGTATTTACATCATTTGTCAGGTCTTCATTGACATCTAGAAAACCCACTCTGATTTATAAACACCTTAAATGACATAGGCCAGTTCTTGAGAATTCCAAATGCCTGTGCAAGGGCAATCCGTTTGCTCTCAATAAAACCCCAGGCCCCGAAGTAAATCACTGAAGCAACCATACAAACCAGACTTCATTTGCATAGACGTCTGAATGAAAAGTTTTAGGAAAAGTCCAAGAACACAAAACCATATTCAAGAGCAATCTCAATCAGCACTTGTAAACTTGCAGGGAAGGAGGAATTATTTCGTGAAAGCCATAAAGAGGGGCCACGGGTCCCTCATAACATGAGGAAGGCCTCAGGCGGAAAAGTCCTACCCAAAAACCCCTTCTGTTGTACCTAACGACAAAAGTGTCCCCTGAAGTTTCTAGAAGATCCAGACAGCTTTCAACTGCTTCGTCTACAAGCAAATCTGATCCACATTTTTAAACACGCACCCAGAGGCAACAAGTAAGCCTGAGATCTAGGTATGTTATCTGCCCCCCAGCAAGTCGCCAAGATCTAGCTGGACCTTTGAGGCCCGGAAGGTTATCCAAGAGTCCTGAGGGCTGATCCCCCGTCCCTATCCAGTTGGCACCCTGCCTCGAGGTGGGGGGTCCATCAGGGTCGGAGTGGGCTGCCGCGCACAGCAGCGTTCTCAGACCGTCAGTCCTTACAAGCAGTGTTTTTCCCCAACCCCCTTCCATACCACCAGACGACTGCCCACCACCGCGTCCCACTTACTATTGCTCGACTTGAGGTCCCGGTGCAGGATGGGCACCACGGCCTCCTGGTGCAGGTAGAGCATGCCGCGCGCGATCTGCACCGCCCAGTTGACCAGGACGTGCGGAGGGATGCGGCGCGCGCGGCGCGAACAGGGTGCGCGCGACTCCGCGGCGGCAGCCAGGGCCCGGTTGAGCGTCCCCCCGCGGGCGAACTCGAGTACCAGGCAGAGGTTGGGCTGCCGCAGGCAGACGCCTCGCAGCTGGATGATGTTGGGGTGCCGCAGCATGGAGAAGAGCTTCGCCTCGCGGCGCACGCTCTCGGCCGCCGCCGCTGCGTCCTGCTCCGGGTCGCGCCGCGCCGCCTTCACCGCTACCTCCTGCCCCAGCCAGGTGGCTCGGAACACCTGCCCAAAGCCGCCGGCGCCGATCAGCTCCTTGAGCTCCAGCTGCTCGAACTCGATGTGCACCGGTGAGCAGGGCCGTGGCGGCACAGGCGGCGGCGGCACAGGCGGCGGAGACGGGCAGGCGGCCGTGTGGCAGGGCGCCACGTAGTTGGCTGGGAAGATGCCGAGGCGCCGCTGCACCTGGCCGGCCCACCAGCCCTCGTCGCCCGACACAGCGGCGTCCTGGGACAGCACCTCCACCAGCTGACCACGCCGCAGGCTCAGCTCGTCCTCTCCGCTGGCCTCGTAGTCGTAGAGCGCGGCCCACAGTCGCCCAGCGCCCGGCGCCGCCGCCGAACACGAACCACAGGAGGAGGCGGAGGACGACGACGAGGAGCCGGCGACCGCGGGAGTCCTCAGCGTCGGGGACTCGGGCCTGTCGGCCGCCCCCGCAACCCTAGGGAAGGCCATGGAGGAGTGGTCTTGAGCGGTGGTCCTGAGGGTGGGGGCGCGGGACTGTGGCTCAGCCTCCGGGGCGGTTAGGAGGGCGCATCTTCCGGAGGAGTCGCCGGCCGCAAGGAGGGGGGGAAAGGGTCTGAAACCGGAGAGAGTGGGGTTCGCGGAGCCGCTGGGTCAGCTAACTGGAGGCTCCAGCCTCTAGCCCCAGCTCTTCCTTATTCGTTTCTGCTTGCTGCACCGGCAGCACCAAGCGCGGGTGCAGGCATTCCATGGTGGATCCCGGGGCCTCAGCCGACCTGAGCGCGCGCGCTTCCCACTGCCCGAGGCCCCGCCCCTGAGGCCCGCCCCGAGACCCACCCCTCGGTCCCGCCCCCTAAACCCCGCCGCGCCCTGGACGTCGGTCCCAGCAGACTGAGCACCTGGAGTCTAAGCCAGGCGGCGAGCCTGGGCCTGCGGGCGAGCCTGGGCCAGGGGGCGAGCCTGGGCCAGGGGGCGAGCCTGGGCCAGGAGGCGAACCTAAACCACGGGGCGAGCCTGAGCCAGGGGCCGGTGTGTGGACTGTTCATTAAGCCAGCCGTCATAGAGTCTTTGCTGACTCATGGTAACAACATGTGTGTCAGAGTGGAGATGCTCTATGGGGTTTTCAGTGGCTGAGTTTTCGGAAGTAGATTTCCAGGTGTCTCTGGGTGCACTTGAAGCTCCAACCTTTCATTTAGCAGTAAAGTGTAGTTTGACTACCCAGAGACTCCTGAGAATTCATTTAGCGTGTTGACTTGGTGTTTTAGCACGTAGGATAAATAAAACAGAACCAAGTGTGTACTTACACATTCGGGGAGGCAGAACATCCACTTGTGATCTATAGGCCTCACCTCCTGTATAGCAAACTTAAGAGTTCTGGTGTGGCACTGTAGGATAAGTACTGGACCCTAACTAAGGTGGGTGTGTGACCCATAAGGTCAGCTTTTCAAACTCACCAGCTGCTTCTCGAAAACACAGGGTTGGTATGGGTTAGAACCGACTCAATGATACTTAACTACAACAACAAGCTTAGAAAGTTTGGGGTAGGAACCTTTTCAGGTCTAACAATAGGGAGTAATTTTGGAATTTTCTTTAATAAGCATACCTTCTCTGTGATTTGTTTTCTAATGTATTTACTTTTAAAAAAAATCTTTTTTGAGCTCTTACTAATGAAAGCTGTTAAAAGGCATTGTCACTCTTAGATATTAGACGTAGCCAGCCTTCTCTTCCTCTGCACCTAAAAGGGCAACAATGTGATGCCTCTTTGTCTTTTGAATTTGCTACTTTTTCCAGCCCTAGTCCCATAGGAACTTCCCCTAGTCCATCCGCTTATGCCTCGCTCTACTCCCGGCTTACCCTCTGATGAAGATGTGGGAAGAAACTCTCCAAATAATCGAAGAAAGAATCAGAAGGACTTAATGATCAATTATATGCTCACAACACTAATGGAAAACTAATATTTATTGAACACTTTGTGTATGACACTGTGCTAAGAAATGGAGGATACAGAGACAGACAGGCAAGGCTTTGCTCTAGAGATCACGAGGAAGTTCCACAACAGACAAACAAAGTTGTCTGGGCTCAAGGTGAAGAGGCAATTAATTATGACTGGGCTGACTGGGGACTGCCTTCTAACACATCATTTGAATTTAATAGGACTAAAATTAACAGAATAATGGAAGAAAGACATTCCAGTTAAACAGTGATCAAAGGCATGAAAGTATGGGCGTGACCTTGGACAATGTATGATAAGAGCAAGAGAGGTTCCTATGGCACAGGACAAAGTTAGAAAGAAGTCAAATTATAAAAATTCAAAAGAACATGGTATAGAACTCCCCACTCATATAACAACATTGAATCTCATATTGAGACCCTCACTGTTTTTCATTTTCAGTCCTTCTGTTCATATTACCATATCTCTTTGTAGTTCAGTATCTTCATGGATAAAATGTGAATAATAATAAATATGCCTATCTTACAAGGTTTATGGTCTTTTGTTTGTTTGTTTCTCTCTAGCAGTTGGTCTTTCTTGCTGTGTTCAAAGCAAGACAGTCCTAGGGAGTTGGAATCTGCAAAGATTTCATTGGCTGATTTTCAGGAAGCAGATCATTAGGCCTTTATATCTAGTCTGTCTTCGTCTAGAAGCACCAATGAAATCCATCCGCCATGGGTGACCCTGCTAGTATTTGAAATATTGCTGCCATAGCAACACATAAGCCACCACATTTTGACAAACTGACAAGGGGTCGTCTTGAGGGCTAACTGATGAGGGACCACAAGAAATAGGATCAGAATTTTCCCTAGAAGTCAGGATGGCAAGACTGACTCCCTTATTTCAGACGTACCACCAGGAAAGGCATCGTGTTTGGTAACATAGAAAAGAAGAATTCATTAGAAAAGGGCATCATGGCTGCAACGATGGACTCAAACAGAACCACATCACGATAGCATAGCACAGGACAGGGTAACGTTTCCTTATGCTGTGCATAGGGTCTCCCTCAGTAGAGAAACCAGGACAGCAACGAACAACAGCTCACATGAACGTTGGGGAGACTAAATGAGCTACTACATTAAGGATCTGAAAGGCATTTAGCACACAGTGTCAGTAAATGTTAGCTATATTGTTGTTGTTAAGTGCATTGGTCAGGTTCTGACTCATAGCGACCCTGTATAGGGCTTCAGAGGAGCAGTTAGTAGGTCTGACCTTGCAATTAGCAGTGCAATGCTAATTGGACCTAACAGCACCTCCCCAGGACCCCAGCTGGATTGTTAATAGCTCTTTTTTAATACAGACAGCAGGCAAATCTCTTGGTTTGATCCTTTGGGTAGAGTACTTTTTGTTTTTGTAGCACTTCTATTTACAGTTGCCTTCTGTTTATGACAAGTGATTTGAATTTTCCTTTGACAGCAATCAAAATAAATTTGTACTCAACTAAAACAATTAAAAGAGTACCATGGAGTACAAAGCCGTTTGAACAGCAACGTTGGCAGTTCAAACTCACTAGCTCCTCGGAAACCCTATTCAGGGTCGCTATGAGTTGGAACTGACTCGATGGCACTTACCAAAAACAACCACATTATGAATATGGCAAAAGCCACGAAGATAGTACTCACGTGACTGAAGTTTGGAAAACACTGCCGGAGGGTGTTGTTAAATGCCATCAAGTGAGTGGCTGGTGAGCTTGAACTGCCAGCCTTGCGGTTCAAAGCAACTTTGCAGTCCAGCACATTAAAGCAATGCTATGAGCGTAGTGGTTACCAATCATACTGCAAACCGCAAAGTCAGCAATTGTTCCATGGGAGAAAGATGAGGCTTTCTGCTCCCGAAAAGATTTATAGCCTCGGAAACCCTGTTGTTGTTGTTAAGTGCCATCGAGTCGGTTCCGACCCATAGCGACCCTGTACAGGGTTTCCGAGGGTGTAAATCTTTACGGGAGTAGAAAGCCTCATCTTTCTTCCGCGGAGCGGCTGGTAGTTTCGAACCGCTGACCTTAAGGTTCGCAGCCCGATTCGTAACCACTACGCTACCAAAGCTGCAATGAGTCGGAACCGACTCCACGGCACACAGCCACCACCACCACCACCACTATTAGCAGAAAAGATCATCCTGTTCTTGGAAGATCTAATCTAGCCTAATCTATTGGGAGTTCGGGTGTGGCGCTGTGGGATAAAGCACTGACCCACAAGGTCAGATTGAACCACAAGGTCGGCAGCTCAAACTCACCAGCTGCTCCTTGAACAACCCATACCAGGTCGCTGTGAGTTGGAACCAACTTGACCACACTTAACAACAACAATCTATCCACAGGGTAGCCATGCCCCTGGAGAGCAAGAAGAAGAAAAGCTAGCTGCTGAACTTGACAAAGAAAAGGCCTTCAATGTTTAAATGCTCTGCTTCAGTAGGAGGGTGTTGTTGTTACTGTCGAGTAGGTTCCAGCTCATAGCGACCCTGTATAGGGTTTCCAAGGAGCAGCTGGTAAGTTTGAACCACCGACCTTGTGGTCCAAACCGACCTTGCAGTCCAATGATTAATCCCAGTATAGATTGAAAAATTTAGGGGTGAAGAAGTAGCGATAGCAAAAATTAGTTTAGAGCTAGCTTTCCATTGTCATTAAAGTCATAGCATCTCATAGAGTCGAAACTCACAAATATAAAGCATTCACAATAAAAGAAAGAGAGAAAGTTTATGGATAGTGGAAATCAGTGAGAAGTGAGATTGTATTTAAGGTGACCAACTCTCCTGATTTTCCCAGGGCAGTGTGGCGCTGTGGGCTAATGTGTCAGACTGCAAAGACGTTTGAACTGCAAGGTCGGTGGTTCACGCTCACCAGCTGCTCCTTGGAAACTCTATACAGGGTCGCTATGGGTTGGAATCGTCTCAATGGCACTGTAGGAAGACTGCTAACCACTGTGGTTTTGATTTTCATTTCCCTGATTACTAATGATGTTGAGCATTTTGTCTTGTGTTTATTGATATAGTTGGTTATTCACGGACTACTAGCCCCACGTTCAGTCGTTCAAGTCCACCAGGTGCTCCACTGGAGAAAGATGAGGTTTTCTGCTTCCCCCTAAAAGATTGGCAGCCTCAGAAATCCTATTGTTTTTATTAAGTGCCATTGAGTCGGTTCTGACTTATAGTGGCTGGTGAGTTTGAACCACCGACCTTGTGATTCAAACTGACCTTGCAGTCCAGTGCTTTATCCCACAGCACCATAGGGTTGCCATCCTACACAAGAACCCAATACATGAATCAGAATTGACAGTGGTTTGGAAAGACTCACTTTTGTGGTTCAGTGGTAGAAATCTTGCCTTTCATGTTGGAGACCTGGGTTTGATTCCAGACCAGTGCACATGAAAAGTACACCCACCACTTACTTGTCTTTTTAATTCCCAGCATTCTAATGGGTATGAAGTGATATTCCACCGTGGTTTTGATTTTCATCTCCCTGATTACTAATGATATTGAGCATTTTGTCCTGTGTTTATTGACCACT